TGGATATTATTCTCCAATGTAACAGTGCTTGGGATTTTTCGTTTTGCTCTCCTCTGTTCAATCTAGTTTCATATGAAGGAGGAGAGAGGCTTTGGTCTTCTTCTGGGACTGAGAGATTTAGCCAGTTTTTCAGCTTCCATGGGCTTTTGATGACTTTTTTGGGCAGTGGCCACTATATCTATATACAAGTTTTTCTATTGGTTGTAACTGCAGAGTCTGTAGACAAGGTGAGTGTGATATTATTTATTAAAAAAAATTGAAAAGATTTTTTTAGATGTTTGGTATCTGGGGTGGAAAAAAAAATCAATCTATTGTGGTGTTGCTGTTGTCACAGTTATGTTATAGTAAACTTAGAATGATGTTACGTTGATTTCTGTGGTGGCGTCAATAAAACCTCTGTTGTTGTGGTCAAAGGGAGTAGATAAGCCTTTAATTATTTGCTTAACCTGTATTGATTACATCTATTACTAGAAAGCAGATTTTCTGTGTTACAAATCTACAAAATAATTTACTATAAATTTTGTAGTCACCTAGGGGCTGTGATGACACTGTACCTAACAGGTTGCCTGTTGTGATGACACTGTAGCTAACAGGTTGCCTGTTTGCTCCACGGTTATAGGTTTCAACCTCCTGGGTTTTTATTTAAACTGAAAAGACCAAATTTCTTCAGCTTCTGCTTCCTCCGTTTTTTGGGGCAAACTTTCAGAGAATTATAATATTGTGGTTTTTTTTTTAAATGAAATTTTTACATAAGTCTTATTTTTTTAAACATTATTATTAATATTCTTGTGGGTGAAAGGATTAAAACTCGTTTCAAAACTTGTTGGTCACAGTTTGTAAATCTGATCGTACATGGAGTACCACAACATGAGTTTTTATAACATTTTTTATCATACACAACAGAGATAGACAGACAGACAGACAGACAGACAGACAGACAATGATGTGGCTTTATATGAAATGTCTCTATATGAAAATATTTTGTGAATTGTGACGAAGCACAAAAATAAAAGTAATACTGGATCTTCAAATGTATAATGCATGTTGTAACAGTATTGCAACATCAGTGGGAGTATACAGCACAACAATGAAGTCAACAAATAAAACAACAAATTCTTTCTTTACCCCAGGATTCAAAATGAAAGAAAATGCATTCGTATGATCTTTTCTGTTAGCTCTTTCAGTCCCAATCTGGGTGTGAGGTGTGTTTGCCTCTTCCCCTTTGAACCCAATCATCATTTTGGTCAGAGCATACTGAGGAAATCTGGCATTCCTTGGAGCCTTGTTTAATTTAATTAACCTCTTTAAAAATAATGGATTTGTGGTTTATTACAGTGGTTACTTTCCCTATTAGACATATTCAGCAACACTTTATGGGACTGAAAGGTTAATAAAAGATTCCACATTAGATTCTTAAAAATAATTTGACTGGAACAATAATGTTTTCTGTAATTGACGAAATTTGAAAACATTAAGGCAGTCAGCCATCACAATCTCAAGTACCCTGAAGACATGCACACAAAAAAGCACAGTAGTTCAACCCTCATGTAAGTATGTGTAAGTAGTACCCTGTCTTACAAGACATTCCGTAACCGTAACAAACACTCACATACTCGATACATCACAAAGCAGAGCTATTAAGTTTACCCAGGAGACAAAATGTTGAAAATGGGGACTGTCACGTGCCACAGCATAGAAAGATCAATACCATACAAACTGGCAATGATCCGCGGGCCAACTGCTTGGCCTTTGTAAGCCAGAAGTGGCCATATTTTTTACAAGTAGGCCATTTTAAGGTTTCTTTGCAGGCTCATAAGAATTCATTCATTCATTGTTCTGTTAAGTCCTGTGAAGTAAAGGTGGCTGGCATTATGTTGACTTTATCACCCACCGAGTGCTAATTGGCATCCTTCCCTTGAAAATTATAAGGGAGCTGAGGCCCTTTACCCCCCCATTAAACAAGGCTGAAGCCCCTTACACCTTCCCTTGAAACATAAGGGAGCTTTCCCCCCCCCCTTCCCCAAACCTCTCAATATTTTCTGTGTGGCAGCACCCTTGCTAACAAAAGTATCTAGAATACAAATATAACTGATATTTCTTTGTGTCAGCCTGTAAACAGCAGAGTACCCATTCATGATTGCAGGGTTCCAGGAATTAAGCAACAGTTTGGCATCAACAGTCCTAATGCCTATTAAAATACTCAGACGTAGCAGGTTTAATTACATTTCATACAGACACATGGATACAAAAGCTACTGGTGAGACAATTGTGGTATCTGCACAAACAATATCCTGTTTCAACCTCAGGTTTATAATTGGGATATAAAGTGTCCATTTTCCATCATTGCCAGTTGTACTGTATTAATGATCTGGAATGGTGGAACAGGGTTCATTAAGCATGTTAGGCATCAACGGTGTTCAATTATTGCCTTTTAAAATACTCGTATGTAGCAGGTTTCATCATATTTCATAATGGCATGTGGATACAAAAGCTACTGATGATACAGTAGCTGTATTTGCATAAATAATATCCTGTTTGACCCTCAAGGTTATAAACAACTTTTTTTTAAAGTTTTTTTTTTTTCATTAGGCGATAGCATATTTCCATTATCCACATATTTATTGGGTGTATATATATTTTAGTTTTCTGTGATTAGCTAGTGTAATTTAAAATAGTAGGGGCCTCAGCACTTTGAATAGCTTAATGCCTCATCAAGTCTAAATTTGGCCCCGGTTTGTGTATGTGCACGTGGGGGAGGGGGAGCGGCGGTAATTGTGTGTGTATCACATCACTCTCTCTCTCTGTTATATAATTATGTTGAAACAGTTTATCTAATTTTTATTGCTATTTTTTGCAGTAGTATCTTATTCTCACCAACTGGTTATAATTAAAATGGCTAGTATTTATTTAATCTTCTTCTTCTTCTCTGTGTTTACCAGCTGTAAACTCTGGCTGAAAGTTCTGGTTGTTCAACTACCTCTGGACGTTAGACTTGTTTCAGAACCTGAGAATTACATGCACATCTGTTTTATAGATGTGACCTATTTTTATGCAGCCTGTTGTTTCCTTGCCTCTCAGGCAGATGCACTCTGACTTTGAAGAAAGCCCCCAATTAGTCAAATCTTACGACATGCTTGTTTGGGGAAGCAGTGGGTCTATTCTTGTTTTTCCCATATTATGGCTCTGTTACCCACACGGGGAAAGTATCTTATGACTGTTAGGATAATATTCATAGTCTTAATTATCAAAATGGAAGATTTATTATTCCTGAATTAATGTCCCTATACTAGATATTTAAAAAAGTATTTCGGCTCTATACAAGATAGAGTTAATTAAGCATTATACCCTTGTATGTCATAAAACACCCACATACAGAAAATCTGATTTGAGAAAATCCAATAATATTGCTCACATCAAAAAGCATACTGCTGTCTTAAGAGAATCTTGTTCAAAGTGACAACTCTCCTGAAGAATTCCTTATACACGAATATATATCAGGACAGCAGTCAAATATCTTGCCACAAATATCCACTGTGACTGCTGTCCTAAAGCAGAATTTCTTTAGAAAAATATCCGCTACGACAGCTGTCCTAAGTAAGAAATTCTTGTTCCAAATATCCATAATTAAGAGTTGTCCCAGGTTAGAATTTCTAACCACAAAATCCATAATAATAGTTTTCCCAAGTTAGAATTTTTTGTCACTAACAGTTATTATAACAGCTGTTTTAGGTAAGAATTTCTTGCCACAAATATCCATAATAACAGTTTTTCCAGGTAAGAATTTCTTGCAACTAAAATCTAATATGTCGTCGATAAGAATTTATAGCTACAAATATCTATTAAAACAATTGTTCCAAGTTAGAATTTCTTGCTAGAAATATCCACAAAAGTTGCTATAAGATTTTCTTGCCACTAATATTCATGATAACAGGCATACCAAGTTAGAATTTCTCTCCTCAAACATCCATAATAACTGTGTAAGTCAGAATTTCTTGTTATAATACAACAGCTGTCACACATAAGAATGTCTTATACAGATACCCATAATAACATGTCTCCCAAATAAGAATTTCTCACTTGAGATATTCACAACAGCAAGTGTGTTATGTAAGAATTTCTTACCGGAAATATCCATTTTGATTGCTACTGACAAATTTTGTGTTTGTCACAACAATTTTCTTTTGTCTTGTTCTATTATAAAAATCACACATACATACAAATATCTACTATGGTAACAGTCCTAAATGAAAAAGTTGGCACAATTATTTATCACAACAGATGCCTAGACTACCAACATTGTGACCCAAAAATCCATTATTCCTGTCTTGTTGCAAATACTTCTCAAAAGCTGTTCATACTGTCACAAATATCACGTCCAACAACAGCTGCCCAGATCTTTTTTTGTGTGTGTCAAGACTTCATGATGCTTGTTACACAGAATAAACAGTTTTAGCTTAGGCACCTTCCCTATACTATAATATCAGTTTTTGTGACACTTTCCAAAATATCAGTTACGGTGACATCTTCCAAAACATCAGTTACCATTACACCTTCAGAGCCTCAGTTACTGTTACATCTTCAAAATTCTCAGTTACTGTTACACATTCCCAAATCTCAGTTACTGTTACATCTTCCAAAATCTCAGTTACTGTTACATCTTCAAAATTCCCAGTTACTGTTACACATTCCCAAATCTCAGTTACTGTTACATCTTCCAAAATCTCAGTTACTGTTACATCTTCTAAAACGACACGACAGTCTGCAGGAGACAATGACATTCCTAAAATCATCATTAACATCCTGTTGTGCCATTACTGACCCCACATTCGGCTCGCAGTCTATTCCTCCATTCTGTTCTGTTCTTCCTCAAAAGAAAGGCTATCCGAAACGACACAAAGATCTCTTATAACAACAGCTGTCCAAGCCAGAAAGTCTTACTTTCAAGACTGCATGATACTTTTTAACACAGAATTATCATTGTTTAAGCTTGGCCATCTTTCCTATACTAAAATATCAGTTTCCGTTACGTCTTCCAAAACGACACGGTAGTCTGCAGGGGGCGATGGCTCGCCTGAGCTCAGATCTGAGTTGTATCCGCTGGATGTGTTGGACATGAACTTGCCAGGTCCGACACCATTCCGAGATTTCACTTGCCGTACTCGAACCGTTTCATCCAGCAAAGGCTGACTAGCGCCACTGGTAGGATCTGTGTTTGGACTTGAGCTCTGATGAGAGGCTTCTTCTGGTGACTGAGAAGGATGACGATACATTTGGTACCTGGCGAATGGGTTCGCTGAAGGTGATACTGGTGAAGCCACAGCTGGTGATTGCATAGCACCTCTGCTACTTGCTGAAGCTGGCCCTGCTCCATACACTCTAGTACTGCTCTGAAACCTAGGAAAATCACTAAGTTTGGACTTTGAGGGCAGGGAGATCGGGCTGGAAACAGATCCAGGTGTTGGTGGCGGAGGCGAGACACTGCTTGTGTTGGCTTCACAAGGGCTGGGTGTAAAACCAGCAGAATCTCCATGTGTTGAGTTTCTGTAATCTTCAGGGTAAGAAGGAGATGATCCCTGGCTAAATCGGCTCTTGTCCCCGACCCTTGCACCACCGCTGTTTCTGCTGGAGCTGTCGTACACAACCGCTAATGGTTTCGGTTTCCGCAGCTCGGGTGCCATCGCTAGTGTGGCTCCAAATTTGGCTGTTGTCTCAGAAGGTGAGACAGGTGAGTGTGCTGCTTTACCTGGAGTAGTGTAAACATTCTGTTTTGGTTTCCTGTCGATGCTGTAGAGATTCAGTTTGGCCTTTTTGTCAACACTGTATGAGTTTTGCTTTGGCTTACTTTCTAGGCTGTATGAATTATCTGGACAAATAGGAACTAGGTATTCATCGTTGTCAACTCCTCCGACAGGTGCCGGCCCACCTCCTTCATAGCTGCTGCAGTGTCCGCTGTCATTGTCTTCGGGCTGATGAACGTCAGCAACTGTCTGCACCTGCACATAAACAACATGTCTTTATCAGTGTAGAAACAGTTTTATTGACAATGACAAAGACAATTATTTTTGGCTAACTCTTTGTTACCATGGACCTTTACCCCAACTAATGAGCACAAAATTATAACAAGAGAGATTCTCCATGTTGTTTAAGGGCCTCGTTTTGGGAAAAGAAGGAAGAGACCTGCTCCAGTCCAAACAAGCATGTTGTAAAAGACAATTAGTGATTTCTTCGCCAAAGTTGGAGTACATCTGCCTGAGAGACAAGGAACCAACAGTCTGCATACAAGTAAGCCACATCTGTAAAACATATGTTGCTTACAAATAAGCCAGATCTGTAAAACAGATGTGCACACATAATTCAGCTTCTAGAAGAAGATTCAAGTCCAGAAGGGGACGAACAACCATAACTTTCTGCCAGTGTTTACGAGTGAACGCAAAGAAAAAGAAAATAACAACAGAGATGAGATAGATGTCTTAGAGGACGTGCCAGAGTAACAAGAGGAAATAAAAAATAAAGAAATTAAAAGATGGCTAGAACTGAAACTAGTTTATAGTTCATTAAAGAGTAACAGACATAATGGCTTGGTACAGTAGGACTGGTTTTATAAGAAAAAAAAAAAAAAGTACCTGATTCTCCATACTGACATTAAATCCTGGAGCAATCATGTCAGGAACAGACAATCTTCTGCCTTCGCTGTTCAGAGGCTCCAGCTCCACCTCTTCTGCGTCCTCATTCTTCCATCGCTGGGTGTTCTCATAGGCCTGCTCATTCTTGCTCACCTGCAACAAGAATTCAGCATACAAACCAATGATTCCAAACAATGTTTCCCTGTTGCAAATTTTAAAAAATGAGGTAAGTAAATAAGTAAAGGACCTGTTTTACTCAAGTGCTGTACTGGTCGTATCTTCTTCTTCTTCTTTGTTTACCGGCTCTAAGCTCTGACGGAAAGTCTAAGTTGTTTGTCCATCTGGACTTTGTACCAAAGACCTTTGGTGTGTACATACATTTCACTGGCTTATTTGTGTGCAGTCAGTTGTTCCTTGCTGCTGAAGCAGATACACAGTGACTTTGAAGGAATCTCCCAATTAATTGACTCCTATGACAATGCTTGTTGGTTCACAGGGTGTCTGTTCTTGTTTTCCCCTCAACGAGGGCCCAGAACCCACACGGGACATCAGGTGTGCAAGTGTATGGGAGTTCACAGGGGGTCTGTTCTTGTTTTCCCCTCAATGAGGGCCCAGAACCCACACAGGAACATCAGGCGTGCAAGTGCATGGGGGTTCACAGGGGTTCTGTTCTTGTTTTCCCCTCAATGAGGGCCTGGAACCCACATGGGGACATCAGGTGTGAAAGTGCATGGGGGTTCATAGCGAAGGCGAATGGATGCCGCTTGGGGCAACAAAGCCTGGCATATGATATCACAACGTCTAGTTTGAGAATGGAGGTGGAGGCAGTCACTGCTGCCTTCCGCTTGCTTGAGAATCAGCTGTACACACATGTTGTCATTGTAACAGACAGATCATTATGGTCTGAGGAGAATCGCACTGTGAGGAGTTACCAGGGATCTGGCCGACGCTCGACACTCAGGGGAACGGCGAGACGGATATACAATCAGACAGCTACTGGTACCATCGGAATTTAAACTCTTCGCTTGCTGCTGAAGACGGGGACATAGCGCTTATTGGGGGTGTCCCAAGTGCTATGATGTCGATTCTTAATTGAACATTCACATAGGATAGCAGGCTACTTTTTAACTGTACAGTGCTCCAATATAACTGTTTTACAGATTTGAACAAGGTGTCTGGTATAAGCTCCTGTTAGATTCACATCCAAAAAACCCACGAACCCTTACTATGAATAATGAGCATAAAACCATTACAAACTTTGCTAAGACCGTTCCTAAGCCCGGCTAAAAAAGAAGGAAGGTCTGACTGAACATGACTGCTTCATGCATCCCCAGAAGCAGTTGGTAAGTTATGGATCAGCCAGACAGCTTGCATGAAGGCAGCCCTTCCACCATGCAAAGATACAACAGCTCTTCAGCTTAAACTATACTGTTCAAAAAAAGAAACGCATAGTTATCCGATGACGCATTTTTATTAGTTTGTAAATAAAATATCGTACTCGGGTATGTGAAAAGCAGCCTCAAATGTTTACTGTGTACGGTGCACATGTGGGCGTGAATTGCTTGAGTATTTGCAATCATTACAATGTGGTGGTCGTGTTTAAGACCATATTTGTGAGCATAGCTCACAATACGCACATGAGAAAGCAACACAATTTGCGGTGAACACTATTCACTGCCTATGCAATTGAAACCCTATAAAAGGATAACGCTACACCAAAGCGATCAGTTCGTTTTCAAGCAGTCACGAATGACGCCTCTATCAATAAATTTAAGGAATATTGCTATTGGCCGATTGAAGGCAGGAGAAAATCAAAGTCAGGTTGCCAGGCATCTGAATGTGCATCAGAGTACCATCAATAGACTTTGACCGACATAGCAGTGGAAGCAGTGGATGACCCAGAGTGACAACCGTAGCGGAGAATCGCTTTATTCGGCTTCATTGTCTCAGAAACAGGTTTACAACAGCTTCCTCAACTGCACAGGCATTGCATTTCATTGTGGGCTCGACGACCACACCGAGGACCTGTCCTTACACGTTGCCACCACCAAAATTGACTTCTTTGGGCCAACCAATATCGTCCCGGGGCAAGTGACAATCAGTGGAGCAGTGTCTGGTTCAGTGACAAATATTTCTTTTCGTTGCAGCGTCATGATAGAGGTGTAGTCTACCATAGATGAAATGAAGGTTTAGCTCAAAATTGTGTTGATGAAGCTCTGCTGCACGGTGGTGGAGGTGTAATGGTATGGGGAATGATCAGTTACAATGGAAGGAGTCAATTGGTGCACACTGAAGAAAGCTTGAATGCGCAATGGTACATTCATGATATTCTTGGACCACATGCCCTTCCATTTTGAAATGCTAACAGATATCTTTTTCAACAAGACGTCAGACCCCATTCTGCACAGTTGACCACGCAGTTCCTGGCTGCCAGAAACATTCAAACTCCTCTCTGGCCATCCCTGTCTGCAGACATGAGTCTGACTGAGCAACTGGGTATGAGCTGCAAAGATGTGTTTGTCGCCGAAACGTTGCTCCAGTCAACAGTCGTGATCTGTTCCAGGCACTCAAGGAAGAGTGGGCAGCCATTCCACAGGCCCACATCAAACATCTGATCGCATCCATGCCCAAGAGATGCCAGTCACTGATCCACGCAAGAGGAGCTTACACACCATACTAACAGGAAAGGCCTACCCTCAAATACTATTGTGACCCAGATACCAAAAAAGGTGTCAATTGATTGGTTAAACCCTAAGGTATTTTTGTGTGAAATTTAAGTACTTTCACTTACTGCATTACAAGGATGCAGAATTTCAAAATTGTGAGTATGTTTGTTCCTTTCAGTAACTTTGCGGTTCTTTTTTTTTTTAAAGTATACAATTATAAGTAAAGAAGATGATTTGAACTTGTAAATTAAATGGGAGAGAACGGGCCATCAAGACAGGCAGGAAAGGCCAAGAACCAGGGAACCAAACCTCCAGGATGATATATGGTTTGCCGAGGTGACAATATTTGACGGTCTCTGACTGACAGAGCACTGTATGTGAACACAGTTACAAAGAAAACTGCTGGTAAAGAAGTCTGGTGATCTCTCTGGCAAACCTCTATGTCCCAAGGTAGAAGAAGATCAACTAAGCAAGTAAGTAAGTAAAAATCATAATAGAAATGTGATGTCTTAGAAGAGCTGATGGAGTAAGCAGAAAAGATCAAATTAAAACTAAAAAAGTTATTTAAATTTAAAAAAAAAAAAAAGAAGAAGACTAGGACTACAACCAGTCTAACAGTTTATTAAAGAGTGGTTTATAGGCCAACAGCACAAGATGGGTGATGTGATCATTATCATGCCGGCAACCTTTACTTCCCAGGACTGCACCTGGTACCCACTCAAGGCTGGGCTGACCTGGCAGCCAAGCTGCAGATTCAAAGGTTTTGAGTATAATCTGACTTTAAATCTTCTGAATGAAGCTGAATTTTTTTTTTTAATGAACTTGGTTTCTCAATCAATCCAGCTTTAAATGAGTACCAGGTAAAGTTCTAGAAAATAAAGGCAGTCAGTGTGATGCTGACCACATAACGTGCAGAGTTTTGAAAGTTCTATAAAATATACACATAAAGGCACGGAAAGGGGTCTTTTTATACAATGTATTAGAAAGTGCAAACAGAAAATCCTTAGACACCTGGAGGATGTGAAGAAGGTGAAGAAGAAGATCATCTGAACAATGCCTCTGTATGTCACTGGGTGTTAACCTTTCAAAACCTGAAGGAAAACAAAATAAGCACACAGACAAACAACAAAAGTGAACTTAATAAAAGCTTACAAAAAATGCATGCTAATACCTTTGAAGGAATACTGTTCGTCTTAGTCTTGGGTGGCACATTCATGTAGTTAGCCTCTGTGGTTAAAGTTGGCATTTTGAGGTAGCCATCGCTGTCTGTGGCAATGGCTGGTTCATTGGGATCAACATCTGTGCCATCACCTATGACTTTCATGTATGTTGAAGACAAGTCCATGTAATACTGTACAGATAAATGAATAATATAACCATTAAAAAACCATTTTCGTCAACAGAGAAGAAAGTATAGTGAGCAACATATAAATTTATACAAGTTTTTTTTTGAGGCAACCAAGAGGTTTTCAAAGAGGCGGGAGCCCGAAGACAACTAATCACAGACATCAGAAGGAGACAGTCATCATTTTTCGGTCATGTTATGAGAAGAGGGAAAATGGAACATGTTGTGACCATTGGAAAGATCTGTGGAAGGAGGGATAGAGGAAGACAACAAGAGAGATTCTTGACAGTCTTGTTGCATGGCATGGAGGTGTGTCGGCACACGAACTGATACATGCTGCAGGAGATTGCAGATTGTGGAGAGGCATGATTGCCTACGCCAGTCGGCAAGGCACCTGATGATGATGGAACAATTTAGTCAACAAAGCACAGTCTAGGGAAGAACATATAAATTTAATAAAACAGGTTAAAATAAAGGAATCATTTTTATTAACAAAGTACACAGTGTAGAAACAACACATAAATTTATACAACAGGTTTACAAAAATAAAATAAACCATTTTCATCAAAAAAGCACAAAGTATAGAAAACATCACATACATTTAATATACAACAGGTTAAAAAAAAAAATTAAAAATTTTGTCAATAAAGAATAAAACATGAATTAATTAATAATGCCTCAGGATATAATAAAGGAAACCATTTTCATCAATAAAACATAAAGCATGGTAAACAACACGTGAATGAAAAAACAGGTTTTAAAAACCCAAATGGTACCATTTTACTCAACAAAGCTCTCCGTATAGATTCTGGTGTATATAGGGAAAATTGAGAAAAACCTCAGCAGGTGTGACAAGATCTGCTTAAGGAGATTAAGCATGTAAGGATTTGACAAGGGGGTGCCTAGTTGACCATGTATCTTAGTGCACTTGTATTCATGGCGAGGCGCAGACGCCGTCTGGAGGTGACAGGTTCAATTCCCGGCACGGTAACTATAGCTTTCGATTTTTATGTTGTCTTGTGTGTTCTTCTAACTTTCTACTTCTTTCTATGAGTGCCGTTCACAATACTTTCTGTTACTAAAGGAGATTAAGCATGTAAGGATTTTACTAGAGTGCTATTTTGCCATAATCTCACAGAACTCTTCTTGTTTTTTTTAAAATCCTTAAATGGAGCTTTGGCCATCAATCAAATCATGTGAAATCATCCTATTCTTTCTAGTGTTTTTCATCTGCCTTTATTCATTTGACCATGTGGGTTCCAGTGCACAGACATTCATGATTCTACATTTAACAACTTTAATTTATCTCCCTTCTGTCTAATATGCATAATTTATGTGTGTTTACCACAGTATGCACAATTTATGTGTGTTTACCACAGTATGCACAATTTATGTGTGTTTATCACTGTATGCATAATTTCTATGTGTTTATCAAAGTATGCACAATTTATGTGTGTATATCAAAGTATGCACAATTTATGTGTGTATATCAAAGTATGCACAATTTATGTGTGTATATCAAAGTATGCACAATTTATGTGTGTTTATCACTGTATGCACAATTTGTGTATGTTTAACACCACCTTACCTGCTTAACATTGCTCTCTAGAAAGTCACCCATTTGTGAGACCAGCTGTGAGAAAGATGGCCGTTCATCAGGATCCACTTTCCAAGTCTGTAACATCACTTTGTACCTTAAACAGTATAATAAACAGATTCACATGTACTGACTAGCATTCACAGAAAAAAAAACAGAAAGATAGCAAGAAAAACAAAAATAAAAAGCTATAGTTAGCATAATGGGAAATGAACCTGTAACCGAATGACGACAGTGCCATACTGCAGGAACAAGAGTACTTCAACTCATGACCAAACTGACACCCTTAAAATGGTGATATCATTAACAAGGTCTGTCATACAGCCTGAACCCATAACTATGGAATAGACAGAATTCACCTCAAACAAATAAAATAGCACCATAGATTACATATATTTATATTAACCAAGCATAGGTTGAATAACAAATGCAAAATATACAAAAATATGAGACATGTTTATTTGCACCTGAAAGAATTTAGATTTCACAGTGTGGTTGCTGCTATCTGATAGCTTGTGATTTTGAGCATGAGATTTTGATGAACATAATGCCAGCCACATTTACTTCCCATTTTAGGCTCAGTCAGCATGGGAGAAAAGATTATTTTTTTTTTGGAAAAAAATTAATAAAATGGTGCTGATTCCAATCTTCAAGCTGGTGGATGAAAAGTCTAGATACTACACCAAAGTGGCTCTGAGATCCATCTCCCCTCCCCTCCCCAATAGGGCCCCAGAACCCACACAGAGAATATCACATTGTACCCAATGGAACAGTGTAGTTACCATTGTCTGACAGCATGTAAACATGATGGGAAAAGATAAAAATAAATATACAAAGACTTGCTGCTCAATCAATACAAGATTACACACATCAGAACTACACAATAATAAAACTACAAGATGATACACATCAGAACTACACAAGGATACTTTATACTCAATAACTACAAGATGACACACATCAGAACTACACAAGGATACTTTATACTCAATAACTACAAGATGACACACATCAGAACTACACAAGGATACTTTATACTCCATAACTACAAGATGACACACATCAGAACTACACAAGGATACTTTATACTCAATAACTACAAGATGACACACATCAGAACTACACAAGGATACTTTATACACCATAACTACAAGATGATACACATCAGAACTACACAAGGATACTTTATACTCAATAACTACAAGATGATACACACCAGAACTACACAAGGATACTTTATACTCAATAACTACAAGATGACACACATCAGAACTACACAAGGATACTTTTACTCCATAACTACAAGATGACACACACCAGAACTACACAAGGATACTTTATACTCAATAACTACAAGATGATACACACCAGAACTACACAAGGATACTTTATACTCCATAACTACAAGATGACACACACCAGAACTACACAAGGATACTTTATACTCAATAACTACAAGATGATACACATCAGAACTACATAAGGATACTTTTACTCCATAACTACAAGATGACACACACCAGAACTACACAAGGGTACTTTATACTCAATAACTACAAGATGATACACATCAGAACTACACAAGGATACTTTATACTCCATAACTACAAGATGACACACATCAGAACTACACAAGGATACTTTATACTCAATATTTACAAGATGACACACACCAGAACTACACAAGAAGATTTGCTAACTTATCAATACAAAATTACACACATCTGAATCACACAAGAATATTTGCAACTCTATCAATACAAGATTATATACGTCAAAACTACATAAAACCACTTTCTACTCAGTTGCCGACAAGATGACAAGCGTCTGAACTACACAAGAATACTTACAGCTCATCACTAGAATAAGGTGGCTTCTCCATACGGTAGCCAGACTTGAGGAGTCCAATGAATTTTTCATTGATCTCAATGCCAGGATATGGATTGCCTCCTGTGTAGAATATCACACAGTATAAATGATAATAACAGATAATACCTTCTTTGAAATCTTGTATCACTTCCTTTTTTTTAAAAATTCTATGCTGATCTACATATTTCTTCTTCTGCCCCAAATGGAGCACAGCATATTAACTAACTCATGCCAAGTCATCCTATCCTTTGCTATCACATGCAGTTCATCCTAGGTCCTCCATATTTTTTAAACCTTACTATTTAGCTCTCTTCTCCTTTTTGTTGTTGTTTGGTCTGCCTTTATTTCTACGCCCCTGCCACTTCTAGCTTCAAGACCTATTGTTCTCAGGTTTTCTCAACGTGTGTCCTATCCAACGCCAGCATCTCTTCATCCCCTCTTGATTCACTGGAACTTACTTAGTTCTCTCCCAAAACTCTACATTAGTGATTCCATCGTATTTTATAGTTTAGCTTTTGAGTGATTCTGTCTGATTACATAATTAAGTCTCTGGAGATGGCCATATGTAACAATGCATATGCATATATTCTTAACTAGCTGTCAAATTTCTTCTTCTTTCTCTTCTTCTGATTTTAACATTGGCCATGTTAAACCCAGCCTAGCTCACAAAAAAGAACAGTGCATCTAAGGTTGCCGCTGGTCCCCCACAGCTTGTTTTGTAAAGCAGTTCCATAAGGCCAGATCCACAACCTCTTTAGGGAGTAGACAAAACAGTCCTGCAGCAGTACATACTCAGGAGTAGCAATCACAAACTGTCAAACTCTGAAGCATATTTTGAGTAGGATCTTTTATTACCAATTTCTATTAATATACTTCTTCATCTTCAGTTGCAGTCCAAATTACTTCTTACTTTGTCACACCATATACCTTTTATTACCAATTTCTATTAATATACTTCTTCATCTTCAGTTGCAGTCCAAATTACTTCTTACTTTGTCACACCATATACCTTTTATTACCAATTTCTATTAATATACTTCTTCTTCTTCAGTTGCAGTCCAAATTACTTCTTACTTTGTCACACCATATACCTTTTATTATAATTATTTAAAAAAAAAAAAAACCTATTTTTTATGTTATTAAAATGTAGCAAAGAATGTAACTCTAGTTCTGTCCGTTTTCATTTCTCATCACCATCACAATGGACAGCCTTTTGTCCATTTGTGGACGTGAAGTACATGGTTCCATTGCTCAGTTGCTGAGCTAAGTGTATGTTGTAAAACAGTGAACTGTGGATTTAATATAGGATGTTTTTATCTATGGTTCAAGTGTTTTATTTTGAGAATGATGTATTCTGAAAATGGTGGCCTATTGTCATGAAACTGACAGTAGCTTATACAGTAATAAAAGTGCAATTGCTGTTCTGTCACAATGAATGTCAGTGCTGCTTCCATTAAAGATAAACTGCAATTCTAGTGGCGCTCTGTAGGTATTGGCACTTTTGGTTGCTGCCTTATGCATTTAATGCATGTGTATGCTGTTGGCATTGCCAGGACAACAGTCTGTTCAACTTTTCACATGGGGGAGTGATTCCCATCCTGTGTGGTTTCGGCTGGTACAGAAATGAAGCAATTACAGGGGTGACCCATTTGCTGTGAAGTTAGAACTGTTACTTTCTAAATAAACACATCATAGTAAACTCAATTATTGTCCTAGCAAATACTGACTACTTCTCTGCAAAGATGCACAAAATAAAACTATGAACACTCACCTAAGGAAAACAATTCCCAGAGAAGTATACCATAGGACCACCTGTAGAAAGTAGAACAGCAACAATAAGGCATAGAAATGAGAACCTACCACGTTTCATATGACAATAGCCTTCCATGTTCTATTTCAATATTTGTTTTAGAATGAAATTAATCTACTAATTAAGAAGTTTAACAAAAAGGGGAAGAGAAACATCCGATAAATAAAAACAAAAAGACATTTGAGCCGCTGCCTGTCTAGACTACAAAATTTATTTTTTTAGTTATTGATCTTGACCTCTCTTACAGGGGATTTGTGGCCAGCATAATCTGCTCTTTGTTGCTGTTGTTGTGGTTAATGTTGAAAAAGGGTCTGGTGTTTCAATTTTGTATGTGTGTGCTGTTCCCCTATCTTCCCCCTCATTAAGCTTCTTACTCAAAGTTTAGTGGTTTAATACGTAATGCCATCTGATTTCACCTAAATATGGGGCACATTTTTAAAAATTATTCTAAAACCCCATCCCGGCTGTCAGGTTTTGATGGTATCACAGTCAAGGTCACTGTGGATTAAAACATTCCATACAATCTCAGTCCTCTGAGGCAGCATTTATCACAAAGCACCTCTATTGACTTTTCTTGTGAGAAGCTGGTTAAAATGTCTCTTATCTTGACCTTAAGGACATCACTTATGTGCTTCACCAGGCTCCACTCTGAGGTCATGAAATCTTCTTTAAGCACCAGAGGTCCATCTTTATCCCACTGCCTAGTCTGTATAGCACTGAGAATATCTGCTGTTTTTTGTATATATCATGGACTGTCTTGACCACAGAGATTCTGTACTCTTGTGGAGTGTCTCTTATGTTATCTTTTCATATTGTCCTTGGTCTTCCTCAGGTTCTATGTCCCTCTTGTCTTTTAGTACATACTTTGTATGGTATGGCAACACCAGGCATTCTTTCTAAAAGGGTAACCATTAAGTGGGGGGAGGGATGTCTTTGTACATTATTTAATACTGGTTGATCAAATCACTGGCACCTTTGCATCTTTCCAGATGACAGTGTTATACTGTGCTATGAGGAGGCCTGGGACTCACAGCCCATAGCAATGACCGGTGTGACTAGCAAGACCTGTCCACATTAAGAAATGTCTTCCATAAAATCATAGTGTGGGTTTTCAGGACCATAGTTGTCAACATTTCAGTTTAGTGTGTTTCTTCTCAGACACTTAGTTCTCATCCTTTCTTCCCTCATTCCCTTCCTGGTGTGCCCCCTCTGCACAACACGGTCCATGACTTTGTTCCAATGAGTCCACCCCAATACCCATATCATTCATGTCCCGCTTGAACACATCTTTATTATATTTTTTAGAGGTCGGCCTCCACATCTTCTACCCATCTGTATTTCACCACAGAGGATATCCTTAGGGACTCTACCCTCCTCCAGCTGTGTCCCAGCCACCTGATCAAATCAACACTACCCATAAATGGATTCTCTGTAAACAAATCGAAAAAAACAATGTAATACTAACACGTCACTCTTTGTGGTGTATATCCGGTGTGTAAATGACTCCAGAGCCATCCATTTCACTGGAACAGGTCCCTGTTAGAAAAAATAAGCAAAAATAAAAAAAAAAAACTTGCATGTTCTGTATAATTAAGTGTTTACATGTATAAAATATGAAGCCCTGCACATCTAGGAGAAAAGAAAGAAAAGGGGAAAAAAAAATTTCTAAGCACATGTGGGGCTAGTAACATTTTTAAAGAATAACTGGCAAACCACATCTCCAAGGCCTCAAGAAATTGTTTGACTTGTTTTTTTTTTTTACTGCCTAGGATTCACAGCCATATGTGAAAATGGCTCTACGTAGCATGCAAGAATTCTATTCCTAACCTCCTATGCACATAATGTTCTTAATGTTAGTAAAGGCAGTTTTGCCCTGTCCTGTTCTGTTCTTTATCTCTACCATGCATCTTCCACTGGATGTTATCTATGTGCCTAGATACTTAAATGACTGTCATTAAAGTACTATTCTTTTATATTAACATTACTTTGGTCTTCCTAGAAGTGATGGAGAGAAGGACAGTACATTTAGATTTAAAAACAAAAACAAAAAAAAACACATACATCTCCTTTCTTGTGATATTCTGGGTCCTTGTATAAGTCCTTGGCCAGGCCAAAATCACAGATCTTGACCACATTATCCTCTGCTAGCAGCACGTTCCTGGCTGCCAGGTCTCTATGGATGTACTGTAGAGAGAAACAAGGAACTGATACAAGTATTAACAAACAGTTCACAGGTTTAGTACTTTCATTATGGTTAAGTAATGCACTCCCCTCCCCCATGTTGTCATAAAAAGAGCCTTAAAAAACAATCTTAAAGGGATCTAAGTGGAAACTGCATGCATGCTAACATAAAATATAATAATAAACGCCCCCCCCCCCCCTTTTGAAATATATAAAAATACCAAGAAACAATCCAAGGTAGATAATGAATCAACACAATTATAGTCACACACTTCACCTGTCACCATCCAACGTGGGATGGACCAACTGCAGACAGCCAATGGAATGCATCGAGAAAGACCAGTGACAATAATAAATAATGAGTCGGTGACAAGAACAAGTCCCACTCCAGAACAAAAGTATAAGGGTACAGCTATTTTTATAGTCAATAAGGGGATCTGGCTGATACTCAACACTTAGAGGAAAGGCAAGATGGACGAACAATCAGACTACTATTGGTACTACATCAGATTCAGATGGCTGCTGAAGATAGGACGAAAGGTAAAGCACTTATGGAAAAATCCTGAGTGCCATGACATTGGTTCTTAAGTCTACTCAATATTTCAATAGCTACAAGAGAAGTAGAAGGTAATCAACAGAGAGTGATAGAAGACACAAACAGCAACTATCTGTCCATAATAATTAACATCAGAACAAAATCACAAAGAAATAAAAGAAGTGTTTGATCAGGCCAAAGTTACAGAAAGATCTTCCCTACACTGTCCTCACCTAGCAGGACATTTCTAGCTGCTAAATCTTCCGAGAGGTACTCTAGACAGAGTGACAAGAAACAGTTACAGGTATCCCCCATGTGGGTTCCGGGGCCCCATTGTGGGGAAAACAAGAATAGACCCACTGCCTCCCCAAAAGCATGTTGTAGAGTCAACTAATTGGGGAGCTTCCTTTGAAGTCGGAGTGCATCTGCCGGAGAGGCAAGGAACCAACAGTCTGTATTAAAGAGAATGAGATCTGTAAAACTGATGCACTCGCAACACTCAGGTTTTGGAGCAGGACTGCAGTTCAGTAGTGGATGAGCAACCAGAACTTTCCGCCAGAGTGTACAGCTGGTGAACGCGAAGAAGAAGAAGAAGTTACAGGTATGAAAAACATTTCACAGACTTAGCTCTTTTCTGTACCTAGCATCTCATATACAGACCTGATAAGAAGAACTCACAGGGGACCCAAGAAATTGTTCTGTTTTATCAGAGATTCTTCTTATCCAGATAAGAGTTCAAGCAAGAAACATTGCTGGGAATAAACATATTATTCTTAACAGCAGAAATTTGCCACATCCAAGATCACCTTAGCAGTCTGCCCTGTCTTTATTAGTTTAGTAATACCTGGTTTAAGTTTCTAAGGATAGACATGTCAGTGTAATGGCCAGATATTAAACTGCCAGTCCAAAGGTCTTCAATGCACCAACAAGTTTTATCCAATATGATTCAGTTTCCCTCCACAGAACAGTTAGCCAAGACTGTCACATGAAGCACAAACTCTGTAGCAGCCAGGATCTTCATAAACATGGCACTTGTGATATGAATAACACAGTCCATGAAATGAACCCGCTTCATTCAGATCACGAGGCAAACAACCACTTTACTTTGAAGACCCCCCCCCTCTCCCCTGACATAATAAACACAATATTCTTTACCTTCTTAGATGCCAGATACTCCATGCCCCTGGCCACTTGAAATGCCCAGCAGTACAAATTTCTGGTCGTGAGGCTAGGACCCAGGATGTCTATGCTGCCCCTAGGACCCCCGGCTTTGTTGACATAGTATGGGTCTTTCTTTGCACCCTTGGCCTCAGTTGCTTTACTGTTTTCTTCAAATGCTGGGCCATCGATGTCATCCATGATGTCTCTGAAATTGTCCTTGTTTTTAATCAGAAAGCTGCGCAAGTTGCCAAAGTGGCAGTACTCCACAATCACATACAGTTCACCTGCAACAACAGCATTACAATACAGCATTAGGTAAAGAAATCTTAATTATAATGACTCTGGTGTTCAAGTGGCAGTACTTGCCAATGGGTGTCAGTTCTTGACTTTTCTGGCAGATGCACTTTGACTTGAAACAAAATACTTTAATTAGTTGCCTTTTACAACATGCTTGTTAGAAGGTACTGGATCTATTTCTCCCTTGCCCCCCCCCCCCCCAAACGGGGCACCAAAACAGCCACAGGGGAGCATAATTATCAAAATCATCAAATCTGTTGTACTGACTATACACAACATAGGGCCGTTCCTCGAGTCTGTTTTTACTGTGAGTTATAACAGAACATTAGTTTGAAACCATACCATATTGAGATTCAAAATTTACAACAAGGTGTATCCCAGCTGCTTTGTTCAACCTCCAAAGAAGTTACCATCAGAGCACCCCTAATGGTTATACCAGCCAGGTGTAACCTGCAGTCCTATATGGGAAAGGATGAAGGATACAGACCCTGGCTGTCAAAGGTATTCTGCAGTCAAAATATCATTTAAGGTAGAGGTAGTATATACCCCTGAGCAGATGTGGAAGGCGAGGTAAATCTACCCCATTATCTTCCAAAATATTTATGAGTGAATACGACTAGCACCTTTCCATCTTTCCAGACAAAAGTGCTATGCTGTGCTTTGAGGACGCATGAGACTCCCAGCCCATGGGAATGAAAAATGTGACTAGCAAGACTGGCTTACCACTGACACAAAAAGGATCCTTGAATTTTTTTTAACTGATTTGACTAACCCATAAAACTGTCTTCTTCTTTACGTTCTTTTTTACCGCTTCGTGCTCTTCTGGCTGCTTTGACCATATACACATTATGGTGATGTAGAATTTCTCTTATGTTATCTTCCCATTTTGTTCTTGGTTTCCCTCTTGCTCTACGTCCCTCGCCTCTTTTGGTAAATGCCTTGTATGGTATAGCATCAGGAGGCATTCTCTCCAAGTGGGCAAAGCATTTGATTTTCTATCTGTCTTTGTATGTAGAATTGGTTCTGTGCCGACTTTATCTCATATGACTTCATTCCTGATTTCTAGTCACTGGTCACTCCTAGTCTTTCTCAGACACCTCATTTCCATGGTTACTAATTTTGTTGTGAGTGACCACATCTGGCATTGGTAGCATATGGTGGGAATAAAACTGAAGTGTCACAAAGACAACATATCTAGACAAAACTTCTGGCCAAGAAAAACATAGGTCACTGAGTGAATTACAAAAGACAGTGAAGATCATACTAGAGACAAAGTTGTAGATAGTCTATTTCATGCAAATAAAAGAAGAGGAATAATATAAAGCAGTACACACGTAGTTACAGGAACATGTGATCGATACAACTGAGAACGTGGTATGGCTTACCAAATCTGATATTCTTGGTGACTGCCCCCAGCAAGTTGAGAATGTTCAAATGCTGTCCTACATGGATGAGTATCTTCAGCTCAGACAGCAAAGCCATCATCTGCTCTTTATCTGTGCAGTCTGTAACACAGAAAGAATGCTACAGTGTCACTGAGGCAAATAGACATACTTGTTTTTTTTAAAACACAGATGCAAATGTTCAGTCTTGAATATATACTATAGATATAAACAAGTGGGGCATGAGAATGAAGTGTTTTTGAATAGTTGTAACAACTGTTAGTTTTTGCTACAAGTAAATTGTTTGGTAGAAGAATATATATCTTCTTCTTCTTAGCTTTCACTGATTTTAAACTCTGGTGGAAAGTCCAGGTTGTTCATCCATTTCTGGACTTTGGTCTTGTTCCAGAACTTTAATTTTTCATACAAATCTGATTTATTCATATGAAGAATGTTGGTGCCTTGTCTCTCAGGCAGACGCACTCTGGATTTGAAAAAAACAGCCCTAAATAGTCACCTTGAATGTCATGCTTGTTAGGGAGGCCATGGGTCTATTATTTTCCCACAAAATGGGGTTCTAGAACTCAGAATGGGACAACCACATATACAAAAACACAGTATTTGATAATAATACTCACTAACATACAATTACATCTAGCAAGTGATATCTGTTAATACATTGTTGAAGGCGTTCAAGAAAACTGGCCTCCAAACTTTTCAGCAAGTCTCGGTTGATTTGAGTGATTTGTTGAGGAATTGCTTTATTCAGTTCATTCAGTAATGAAAATCTGCGCTGGCTGCTGAAGATGAGGACGGAGCATGAATGGAAATGCCCCGAGTGCTGTGATGTCAATTCTTGACTCAACTCAATTTATCTAATGTACAAGGCTTGCTTTCATAGAAAGAAATCACATGCGGAGAGGTCAGGAGCCATCAATGTAACCAAATCTTTAAATGAGATATCTGGGAAACAGGCCAAGAACAAACACTGATGCTCTGGTTGTGTATCCCGTGGCCCCATCTTGATGAAATCACAAATGTTAATGATAAATATTTCTTCTTTGTATCTCAGGGGTGAAAAGGGTGCACCCATCTCAATGTAACACTCAGATGTTACAATAACTGTAACCCTAATCAACTCTCAAATGCAGAGTTTATACTGTTACAGTTTTATAGTGTAATGAAAGACAATGTACATGTTGCAGCCATCGATTACTAGTTTTCAGTGATGAGAAAGTTGAACTAAATACCCCGAGATGTAAATAGATATAGGGGTGAATTTATGCAATGGTGGAGGAGGAAAAGATGAATAAATGTTTTTGAGAAACTGAGAAAAAGAGTTTAAAGAAAAATATACAGTATAGTGAAATATTTAGGAACTTTAAGAGAAATTAAAAGATCTCCCCATGTGGGTTCCAGGGCACCATCCTGAAAGGGAAAAAAATTAATAGACCTGCTGACACCAAACAATCATGTCGTAAAAGTGACCAATTAGATTTTGTCTTCAAAGTTGGAATGCATTACTATTTGCCTGATTTATTCTCATCATCTTTGTCCTTTATGGATTTTTAGATCTTATTGTTGTGATCTCGCATCACATAAAGTAAAAGACCCTTTTCCACGCCTTTTAGGCGTATTGATATAAAGGGACAGACTTACATTTTATAGACCAACGGCACACAATGAGTGATGTGGTCAGCATCAAGCCGGCTACCTTTACTTGCCAGGATTGCACCTGATATCCACTCAAGGTTGGGTCAACCTGGAAGCCAAAGTCATTTTAGAAAAAAGTCAGGCTCTGCCAGGGAGCAAACTCACAACCTTCTGATCCACAGGCGAGCATCTAGCGCTTAACTGCGTGTGCAACTGCTAATCTGTTGTAAACCAAGAGTCTGCAAAGAAATGAGCCAGAAAGCCAGATCTGTAAAACGGATGTGCACACAAAACCCAAGTTCTGAAACAAGACCAAAGTCCAGAAGTAGATGAACAACCATAATTTACTTTCAAAGCTTACAGTCGGTGAATGCCAAGAACAAGGAGATAGCCGGTGAACATTAATAATAAAAACATCCCTTCCATAGGTTTTATTCTGCTGTAACCTTCAAGACGAGCTGGTCCCACAGATACTGATTACTAACCTTTCACCATCTTCACCGCCACCACAGTGACATCTTTCCCCTCCTCTAGTCCAATGGCTTCAGCTTTCATAACTCTGCCAAATGCTCCCTGACCAAGGATCATTCCTGAAATGTACAACAGAATTGGTTTTTACTGGTTCTAGAATAAGAAAAATCACCAGCTTTGTACCTTCTTTATCTCTGCCACTGTTGGCCCCAAGCCCAGATGAGAAAGGAGGAGGGCTGGGCAAGAAACTAGCTCCGCCACCAAAAAAAATTTATTTGCTATAGAAACTTGGTAGAAAGGATGTCATTCCAGTTTTGCACTATAGAAGTCAGTGACAAAAGATGCACACTACTTGGCTCAAAAGTACTCACTAGAATATGATTTTGAAAAGTAAGGACTATGGCACAGGCAATAGACTGAGGAAACAAGGACGTCAAAGAGAAACACTAAGTCGAAAGTTGTTGAGAAAAAATCGGCCAGACTGGATTTCATTCATGATACTGAAGTGATTGCAAAGGATAAAACGGAATGAAGAATTGGACTACAAGCCCTATGTGACAATTATAGGCTGGGCAGAAAAGTAAAAACACATATCGTCTTTAAACTTTAACAGGCACATTATAGAATATGTTGTATTTCTTTTTCTTCCCTTTATTCCCCAATGGAGCATAGGTTCTCAAACAATTCATGTGAAGTCATCCTATCTTTTGCTGCCACATGCAGCTCATTACATATTCTCTCCATCTTTTTAATTCAAATCTCTAGCTCCCTTCTTCATGTTTTTTTTTTTTTTTTTTTTTGCCTTGACTGATATGCGCCTGTGAGTTCCAGAGTAAAGACATTCTAGTTATACTGTTATAAAGTTTTTCTCAGTGTATCCCATACAACTCTAGTCATTTCTTCACCTCTTGATTTGCTGGAATTTGTTTAGTTCTCTCCAAAAACTCCACATGAGTTATTATATCATATCATTTAATTACCTCTTATTCTATCATATCATTGAATTACCTCTTATTCTATCATATCATTGAAATACCTCTTATTCTATCATATCATTTAATTACCTCTTATTCTATCATTGAATTACCTCTTATTCTATCATATCATTGAATTACCTCTTATTCTATCATATCATTGAATTACCTCTTATTCTATCATATCATTGAATTACTTCTATTCCTCACAGGCCCCAGCTGATAAATGTTTGCAGTTTATTAGTAACTGTTTTAGCTGTTCTCCATTTTTCAGTTCTACACAAAAGTACTGATTTAACATTATTGTTAAATATTTTAAGTCTGGTATTAGTTATAATCTCCCAAATCTATAAAACTCCTCTGGTATTTAAAAAAAAATATTTGTATTTCTATATCTCTAACAGTCACCCTACACCCCCCCCCTTACCCCCCTTTCCCCCTACACCCCCCCCCCCCCCCCACCCCCTTTCCCCCCAACATATTTATCTACATTACTGCCTAAACAGATTCTGGATTTAATGTTCATCAATTTCCTCAGACATCTGTTTTCAAATGTATTCAACTTTTGTTCCATATCTGTAGTGGTTATCTGAAGTTCATTGGCATATGTTACAACTAAAATAAAATTACAACTGAAAATGATAATTACCTAGGCGTAATCTTTCCTTCGGGAATTCCCACTTTTCATCATAGGGCAGACAACCTGTCTGTTCATCTATTGGCAGATCTGGGTTGTAATCCCCATGTGGCTGAATCAGGTACTGTTCAAGCTCTTTGTGCTATGAAAATAAACATTATATACAATCTTTGCAATATTCAGCAGCTAAATGTAGCAGACAACTAGAGTTTAACATTCAGATCTTTCAGAATGTAAATGCAGTCTAACATCGTTAAATATAATCTTTGCAATATTCAGCAGCTAAATGTATTAGACAATTAGTGTTTAATATTCAGATCTTTCAGAATATAAATGCAGTCTAACATCATTAAATATAATCTTTGCAATATTTAGCAGCTAAATGTATTAGACAATTAGTGTTTAATATTCAGATCTTTCAGAATGTAAATGCAGTCAAATATCTTTAACCAAATTTCAAGGGGCCAAAAAATGAAAAGTTTGTGTTGAAAAAATGTGTGCTAACCTGGGATAATCATATATTCCTACCTGGATCAAATTTTGTTCATGTTAATTCATTCTTCTTCTTAAGAGAGTCGATGTAAACAAGGTTTTACTGTAATTTTCGTGGCCCATGGTATTTTAAGAATCTTTCTGTTGCAATTCGACTCAGAAGCTCCCACATTTCTTCCCTAGTAACTGACAGATAGTCATCAAAACTGACCTCTGTACATTGATAGTAAAAAGATGCCTGCTTTCACAAAGTTTAATTTGATTGATTGCTGGTGCTTAGACATAGGCTGTTAACTTTCAGTTCCCATATAACTGTTTATTTTAACTAGTTCTTGTGATAAAGGGATCTGGCCCATACTTGAAGCTCAGAGAAAGATGGACATATACTCAGACTGCTACTGGTACCATTAGTACTGAAACTCTGCGCTGGCTGCTGAGGATGGGGGCGGACCACATATGGGAATGCCCCGAGTACTGTGATGTCAGTTCTCCAATCAACTCACTCCTTCTGCTCAAGTATCTGGCTTCAAACCAATAAATTATAAGGTGTGAAGAAGTTCCACAGACTGTGACTAATAATTCAGATTCTAAGGGCTTATATAATTTCTTTTCCCTCAATGGGTTCCATGGCCATTGTGGGGGTGGGAGCCCACAGAATTGACTTACGGCCCCTCTTTAAAGCATGTCACAAAAGTAGACCAATTAGAAGTGTTTCCTTTGAAGTTGGAATACATCTGCCTAAGAGGCAAAGAACATGCATGCATATATACCAGATTTATCAAAGAGGTGTACATGCAAAACTCAAATTCTGGAAGAAGACCAATTTCTAGAAGTGGATGAACAACTACAACATTCCACTGGAGTTTACAACCAGTGAACGCTAAGAAGAAGAAGAAGAAGAAGAAGTAGCAGAAACTTACCAAAAAAGTTCTAGTATTTAGGCATATGGATAAAAATGGAAAATGTACTACAGTATAAAACAAGCAAAAACTGCATTTTATAAAACGAACATCTTCAGGAATATATCCACGTCAACAAAAGTTAGAAGAAGAATGTTGCATATTATACTGAAGCAGATTTAACACAAAACTGTGATTATGGGACAATTAATAAAGGAGCTAAAACAATCCTCAAGGTCCCAGATACGTAGTCTAAAACTCATGTGTACTTTTTGTAAAGAGGTGAGAAACATGATAAGTTCAGCACTTACAAATCCTGATGGATTTGATTTGGCTAATGAAGATTCTTTTCTTATCATGTGTCTTAGTAAACTTGTTTCTGCAGCAAGGCCCTGTCATCACTTGGAGGTGACAGGTTTGATTGCCAGCCTGTTAATTATAGTTCTTACAGCTTTCAACATTTTTCTATGATTGCCAATCAATACATGAATATTTGTTGATTACTTACAAATCCCGACTTGGAGCGCTTGATTTTGATGATGATAAACACAAAGACACCAACGATGATCAGCAGGACACCCACAATAACACCGATGTGTACCGGAGACAGGGCAGCCTGACTAGATTCAACTGTTACAGGAGAGAAAGCTACTGTTAGACAAACACCAAAGCATGATCTGTCATCATCATCATCATGTAGCAGGTCCTTTGCAGAACGTCGCTCTCATCACAGTTTGTCTGAAAGAAACTCGGTCTCTCGCCAGTTCTCCTGCCTATTGTACTTTCATACTCAAGGAGTCACTTATATCCTGTGCCCATCTTCATGTTGGTCGGACCCTACCCTTCCTTCCTGGTACAATGCCTTCTGCTATTGTTTTTTCCAATCTGTTGTGGTGCTTGATATGACCAAAATATTTCAGCTTCTGAGAAAGGATGCTGTTTATTAGCCAATCTTCCTTGATGTTCAGATCTTTTAAGATGTTAGTATTTCTCCTCTTCTTTGCCCAAGATATTCTGCATGATCTTTAGTTAATAAAAATCATGCAGCATAATCATGGCAGATAGCAAAATCACTCACAGATAAAATATGACACACGTCCAACAATGGAGATTAAACAGAATGACTGAAAATAAATACATAAAACATAAAATATGATATGCCTCCATCAATGAGGGTTAAACAGTATGACTGAAAACATCTAACATATAAGATATGACAAGCCTCCATCAATGAGGGTTAAACAGTATAATTAAAAACATCTAAAATATAAGCTATGACAAGCCTCCATCAATGAGGGTTAAACAGTATAATTAAAAACATCTAAAATATAAGCTATGACAAGCCTCCATCAATGAGGGTTAAACAGTATAATTAAAAACATCTAACATATAAGATATGACAAGCCTCCAACAATGAGGGTTAAACAGTATAATTAAAAACATCTAACATATAAGATTTGACAAGCCTCCATCAATGAGGGTTAAACAGTATAATTAAAAACATCTAACATATAAGATATGACAAGCCTCCATCAATGAGGGTTAAACAGTATAATTAAAAAAATTTAAATGACAGATATGATGGAACAAACCCCCAAATATGCAGGTTTTACAGCATGACTGAAAATATCTACATGAAAGTTAATATATGACGTACCTCCAAACAGTGAGGCTTAAACAGTATGACTGAACACATATAAATGACAGATAGGATTTGACGTACCTCCAACAATGAGGGTCATGTTGGAACTCCAAACTCTGCCTCCATAGTTGCTGCCCATACACTGATAGTTGCCCTGGTCAGCCAGAGTGGCATTTTGAATGGTGAGGCTAAAATCAAAAAGTATCATTGATTTAGGACACAACCTGAAGATGAAGGATGGTAGAGCCCTAAGGACATCCTCTATGGTGAATTACAAATGGGCAGAAGATGCTGTCGACCTCTACTACAACATAAAGATGTGTGCAAGCGGGACATGAAAGATACGGTTAAACAGGTAGATTCGTGGGAAAAGAATACCATGAAAAGTGTTCCATGGAGAGAGGAAAATCAAGAAAAGAATAGGAAAAAAGGATAAAATGTCTGCAGGCAGGTAAAGAGATTAGCACGTGAGAAGAGGCACATTAAATGAATGCAACTGCTATATTGGTTCTGAGATCCACTGCTTTAATTGGGCAAGACATGTCTTATACAAGTGGTGAAATCCCACCGGCCAGACATCAACGTGGCTGCTTCGGGATAGGTCAGTTAAGTGTCCTTGTGTTTTCATGTGGTCTTGTTTAATTTATTTATGTGCTGATGAAGGTTCTGTAGCCGCAGTGTTTTTTTTTTATATTGTGAAGCTCGCTAATCTACTTTCTGTTCAACTTTATATCTTTCCATGATATTAACACATGTTGGTATTGTCATGGGCTGTGCTTCTATGCCTCTCTTTAGCACTATATAAAACCATACAACAATAATTGATTTAGAAGCCTCAACAACTGCATTCTTCTTCTTCATTTCCTCTTATAACCATGTATAATGTGACCAATGCTTTTATTCTTGCTCTTCTGATCACCTTGATTACAGACACATTTGTAGAGTTTTTCTGTTAACAGTTTTCTGCTGTTAACAGTTTTATGTGTTAACAGTGAGCTGCCTTTACATCATCTATCTACGACGTCTCCCCAAGTATAAGACGCACTTTTCACCCAAAAAATTTAGGGTCGAAAAGCATTGTGCGTCTTATACAATGATAGTATATTTTTACCAAATGATCTGTTAGAAAATATCCCATACAGAGCCTCACTTGGGAATGCTGGTTCATGGCAGACAAAAAAATACAACAAAAATGATACAAATAAAAGTTCATTCCTATTGTAATAGTTTATGTGCTTGTCTGCGCGCTCACTGTTTCCCACTTGTTACATTAGGAATTCGTGTCAAACCACCTGATGTCTGCATTAATAAACCCTTCAAAGTTGCCATGAGAGACAAATAGAACCAACCGATGAAGTTTATGGGGGCAATTCGACTCCAGTCGGTGGTGTGAAGAAGCCAACTATAGAAGTTTGTACAAGGAGAGTAAAGATTCTGGGATAATGTGAAGATTTGAGATCGCTGTCAAGTCACTATGGCATTTCAAATACTACAGATGGAAAATGAAGGTGAGGCAATAATATATGAAGACAGTGATTTGTCATCAGATACAGATGAGGACGAGCTCAAGAACTGAGTTCTGAGTTAGATTATCTTCACAGTACTCCGGCATGATCCGGCAGGTCGAAGCAGGCTGGTTAAGCAAACAGTGGATTGGGTCATTGCAAAACTCTCCTGTGTGTGTGCAGTTACTTTCATATTTGTCCTATGGCATGCAGGTGTTGTTGTCCAAAAAAAAAATAGCTGATAGACTGGCAGGTGCTGCACTAACTGAAGATGGCCGATCCATGGATCACTCAGACATTGTCAATGTACTTAAAGAGATAGGACACTCTGAGGATTTTGGAAGCAACATGTCCACATCACTGCTAAGAATATAAGAACTAGGTGTAAAGTTCTGCACAGCCAAGCATGAGAAGCACACCGGACGCACACGAAGTCTTGTCAACCAGCATAGGACTGGCATTATTACCCGCGTGACTCTGATGAATATGCTGAGATAGGAATCTGGGCACCTATGGACATGTTCGAAGTGCTGTTAAGATAATCCAGTTCATAACTCATCTTCTTTTTACATCTTCCGTCCACTGAAGAGCTTGTTTTTGTCAAAGTCTCATGAGGCATTCTGAAAACATGTGAACAATACCTATCTTCTTACTTTATTAGCATTTCCCAGTAGTGAACCTTTTGCTTTCCTTCTCAGTTCTTCATAGGTCATATTGTTTGGATAAAACGTTTGCAGTATTCTCCTGAAACATTCTTTCTGTCATCAGTCATCTTAACAGCATTATGGGCCCCTGGGCACTCAGGTGTGCTGGGGCCCCTACGATAACTACTCAGCTGACCTACATAGATTATCATGGGGCCCTATGCCCATGGAGGCCCTAGGTAAGTGCCCAGCAGGTCCATGCACAGCACAGCCTGTTATAATCTCTTGCAAAACGTTTAGTTACCTAAAGGGGTTACTGTCAGAGACGGTATAGTGGGCTGTGTTGTTGAGAATGACTGGCTGTTCATCCTTGAACCAGGTGACCTTTGGCGGAGGGTAGCCGGTGATGTTGCAGGTGAAGACAGTTGATGAACCGATGCTGACAATGCTGACTCGGGAACCACTGGTAGGTCCATGTAGCACAGGTACCAAGATTTCTGTGTGAAGGATTAAGGATGAGAAGTGTGATAATTCCACTAGGCTAATAAATTTATCATATATTTTACCGTACTAATTAATGGATCAAGCCAGATACTACAGAGCTTTGACCTCCACTTATTAATGTAATCAATATATTCTACAGAGATTTTACCACCACTCATTAATGTAATCAAGAAAGATATTATTGATATTTTGCCACTCAATATTGCACCCCATATAACTTACCACACTCTTAATGTAATCAACAATATATATTTGATATTTCCCGCTCATTAATGTAATAAAAAAATTCTACACATTTTACCACCACTCATTAACATAATCAAGTAAGATACTAAAGATATTTTGCCACCACTAATTAATGAACCACATATATTTTACCATATTTATTAATGTAATCAAACAGATACTAATGTAAATGATAAGACAAAATTAATCCTACAGATATTTATTTAACCATTCAACTGCTAATGAAGTTGAAAAAAAAAAAAAATTTTTTTACTAATGTAAATAATAGTTCTTTGTGACTCAAATAAGAAAAAACACTTTCCACTAAAGTAAATGATAATATTTACCGGTAAAGTAAATGACACTGTTTTCAGTAAAATAAAAGAGACTCCCCCAACTCAAGTAAACAAATTATTTCCTAGTGAAGTAAAAGAGATTTTCCCCAACTGAAGTAAAATAAATGATTTCTTGGTAAAGTAAAAAACATTTCCCAAACTAAAGTAATAAAAAATTTCCCTATTAAAATAAAACATATCCCCCAACCATTTTTCACTAAAGTGAATTTTAAAAAAAAATGCATGTAAAGCTAACAATGTTATTTCCTCCCAAAAATGAAAGATATTTCTCACATTGAAGTAAAGACAAACATTTCTTTGTAAAGGATTACATTTGACAGTAAAGCTTATCCCATTATTTTCCCAGTAAAGTAAATGACAAACATAATTTCTCAGCAAAGAGAGTGAACACCATTTACCATTCAAGGACAGGTTGTAGACAGCAATGTGGTCAGCATTATCAAAAGAAGTGGTGGCTTTACAAATGTATTCACCGACATCTGAGTTCTGCAGACTCTCCCACTCCATTGTGACTTGAATCTGATTGCCAATTCTATAAAGAATATATCAAAATCATATTTTAGTATAAAACTATTGAGGTAATATTGATGCCAATTATTTTTTTTAAAGAAAGATTTCTTCTTTAGTATTTGCCCTTGAAGTGGTCAAAGGCCTGCTATGCTGTTGTTTTATAGTTCGAATGCAATATCTACACCGTTGGATCCAAGACATGAGATTTCAGCAAATGCAGAATTAGTTGCCTTTATGAAATGTTTGTTAGGGAGCAGAGGGCTTATTATTTTTCTCCTCAAAATGGGGCCCCAGAATCCATAGGAGAATGAAAAGATGTGAAATGCGAGGCCTTCATACATTTTAGGTAACAGTAGTTCTTCTTCTTCTTCTGCATTCGATATCAGTCATGCTAAACATTGAGTCCCGTCTGGGTCACAAATAGGATTGTGCGTTTAAGGTCGCCACCGGTCCCCCATAGCTTCTCTTGCAATGTGGCTCCCAGATCCACAGTCTTTGCTGGGAGAGGCTAGGGCAGTACTTTAGTATGTGTTCAGGGGTTTGTCTTTCTGCTCCACAATCACAGGCAGCAGATTCTTTTATGCCTATCCTGTACAAGTGTGCTCGAAGACCACAGTGTCCAGTCCGAAGTCTAAAAATTGATGTTTGTTCTTTCCTGTTGAGTTTGTTTATGCTGTCACTCTCTGGTCTGTAATCTCCATTTTGCCTTCTCCACTCCCGCTTGAAAGACTGGTAACATTACTGAGAGCCACAGCAACACAGTGGCTAGACACTTGCTGCTAGCCCAAAAGTCTTTGGTCTGAATGCAGACAGGGTAGATTTAAAATATGAACATGTTACTGTAGACAAGTATGAAAAGTGATATTTATTTGAAACTGGGTCAAACCAGAAGTGTTGGTTTTGTTACTTCTCAGGTCAAAAGGGTTAATTCAGAGAATAGAAGCTGTTGAGAAACATATTTACCCACATCTATGAGTGTCAATCAATACATATCAGTTTATTATCATGCAGTTTACAAAATACCTATTTGTAATGATGATGATGACAATAATAACGATAATGATGATGACAATGATATTGAAACTGATGATAACAATGAAGATGTCAATGATGATGATGATGATGATGATGAGTTAATTTATTTACATTCTGTGAACTATTCTCGGCCAACTTGTCCTGAATGCCCCTGTAGTCATCACCTGGGACTGCCCCAGGTCAGTTGCCGTCATATGATCGCTGTCTGTCGTACTGTAGGAATATCCAGAGGTGGCAGCACTGGTGGCAGTAGAGGACAGGTCAGCAGCTGTGCTGTTCTGTTGCTGCACAGGAGTGACCGGACTGTGCTTGAGGTCAGGTGTCAGCATGTACAAACTGACGGAGCTGTACAACCATCTATTGGCCGAACAAGTCACTTTCAGGCTGTCTCCGACAACCGGCACACGGGTGGAGTTGGCAATCACGGACAGCAAGTAAATATCATCTGAGGGTTTTAGAATAAACAACATCATTATTTCAAGTAAAAACATATATGTTAATGTAAAGTTAAAGACACTTTTTTTCAATGTCAGTAATGCAATGGGCACATGATGCTAGTACTCAGATTTTATTATTCAACATCACGTCAGCCATCTTTGCTCTACAGGACATTACTAGTACTTTGCCTTTTTTTAAAAATTATTTGTTTAATTTTATTTAAACAAAAATGAAACAAAACAAAAACAATATGCTATTCAACCCATTTGTATTAAATGGGATACAGAGATTTGTTTTATTTCAGTATTGGATATTTATGCCTATCAATTATGTTTGGTAAAACTGGCCAGGTACTTGAACAGTTAGATCCCCTCTTACAGCCTAGGGTAATCCCAAGCAGCACAGAGAAACATCTCATACAAAGCATATTCATTCCCACACTATGTTATCAGTGCCAGACATGCTCACTCACAACAAAACATACAAGAATATTAGTAACCATGGAAATGAGGTGTCTGAGAAAGACTGAAGGAGTGACCAGAGGAGATCAAATCAGAAATGAGGTCATACGAGATAAAGTCGGCACAGAACTAATTCTAAATTACATACAAAGACAGCAAATCAAATGGTTTGCCTACTTGGAGAGAATGCCCTCTGATGTTATACCATACAAGGCATACACTAAAGGAGGAGAGGGGCGTAGAGCAAGATTGAGACCAAGAACAAGATGGGAAGATAACATCTCTACAGCACCCCAATGTGTCTGTGGTCGAAGCAGCCAGAAGAGCACGAAGCAGGACCTTGTATTTTCCTCGACACCCAAAGCAGTAAAAAAAAGACGTAAAGAAAGACAGTTTTATGGGTTATTCAAATCAGCAATTTTTTTTTAAGGACCCTTTTTGTGTCAGTGGTAAGCAGGAATAAGGTTATAGACTTGTATTTTTCTAAAATTATCGCTACTCAGTAAGCAGTGTAGTCAACATTCTGGCTTATTTGTGTGCAGACTGTGGTTTCTTGCCTTACAGGCAGCTGCACTATGACTTCAAAAGAAATGTAGATTCTATCTAGGTTGGCCAGGCATCAGTTGGGAACCTGTGTCCAGCATGACCACAGAAGCAGTGTGAGCAGTGGTCTAGTGCTCTATCACATGTGATTCAACACCTCTGCAACATAACTACCCTAACTTGTTAAAACAAGGAAGCCAGATTTACCTGTGATGACAGCCAATAAATTCTGGCTAACATTTCCATAAGGATTGACAGCCTGGCATCTGAAGTAGCCACTTTCCGTCGGGTGATAAATGAGGTAGGCGACATAAGTAATCACTCCCTTTTTCACAATACCCTGTCTGCCGTCAGTTTCCAAGAGTTGTTCAAATGCAGTTTCATTCAGCTCACACTTTGACTGACTGCATGGCTATGGGACAGTAAGAACATATATTTACTACTTTAATGAAATACTCTGAACTTCTTAACTAATTTACATTGTTCAAACATATTTTTAATATAGATCACACCAGGTCATGCCAGTGTGTAGAGAAACGAACAGGCAGATAGGCTGTCTGGTTCTGCACCACTTGGTAGTGAATCAATGTTTGATAAGCTAGACGTTGCAAAGGTCTTCTGGGAGAGATACAACAATGCGGAGGCACAAACAGATCAATATAGTCTTTAGCAGTGTTTGCAATTCTGGTAGTTTCCTAGACTGGAGTGCTTCAAGTACGGATTTAGCATCTGTCAGCATTACCACATACTGTGAGCCAAGATTGGTATTTAGCAGTTTCTCTGTTGCTATCTTGATAGCCTGAGTTTCTGCATCATAGTTATGGCAGTACTTCCCAGTTGGTACGCTGGACTTATCCCTAGTACCATCTGGGAATTCGATGTACACTCCAGCACCACCATTTCTAACTGCACTTTCTGCGGACCCATCTGTATAGACTCTGACCCATTGTTCTTGTGGGTATTCTTCATCAATATAACTGAGGGTGGCCATTCTGCGTTGTACACTATCTTGCTCTTTCTTGTCAAATATCCCTTTCACATTTGTCTGGATTTGTACCGTTAGTTTACATTTTTCTCTCCATGGGGTTTGTTCCGGAATACTTTTAAGTGGGCAACCAATTTCTGGAAGGTCAGGAGTTTGTCTACATATTCTTTTTGCTTGATGTATAAAGCTGCTTCTTTTTAACCATCCTAAAGCTAGGTTCTTAAATCTATTTTCCATCGGATGATCTGGCATACTGAGGAACTTTTCAGCTTGTATTTGCAACTTTGTATCTCTGCGTTCTCTCAGTGCCTGTGTTTTTCCAGCTTTCTCCATTTCTAATATGGGTGTTGATTTCATCCCTCCTGTGATGACTCTGAGCGCTTGATTTTGCACTTTGTCCAACTCCTTTAATGTGGTACTAGATGCTGAACACCATGCAGCTGACCCATTTTCCAAGTGTGGTTGTATGCCCTGCTTGTATACTTTATTGAGTATTTTCCCATGGGCCCCACATGTGGTTCCACTTAGTTTTCTTAGAATTGCTGTCTTCCTCCTGGCTTTGGTCACTGCCTTGTTGATATGTTTTCTGCCTTGTTGATATGTCAACCTGTCATCAAATGTGACTCCTAGGTATGTGGGCTCTTTATCATCTCTTGGGGATAATCTGTTTATTTTGATAACGCCAGCTTTTTGCTTTGGGGTGAGGGTGAAGAGTGTGGTGCTACATTTGTCTGTGGGATATATTCTTAATTCTGCTCTGTCAGGTAAGTTGTGACCAATGTTACATTGATTTCTGTTAGCAGGTGAAAGACACACCAAAAAAAAAGAATATAAAAGTCCTAACTCTGACACCTGCATGAAAATGTCTGCCATGGAATTATGTTTATCACATAATTATGATTGCTGCATACCTGGAATGACCAGGACACGTTGCTGTCTGGGTAGCCTTTGATGCTGCAGTTGAACATGACTGATTTACTCTTGAGTACGGTTATTGTTTTCTCGGGCATGTTCTCATTGGCTGATGCTGCATGCATTGTCACAAGGGGTGTGCCTGCAGAAAGAAAAAAGATGATTATGATATCTTACAAAAACATTTTTTTAAATTTATATTTACAAGGGGGGGGGGGGGGAATAAATATATGTTTCCTTTCTTTTTTCTTAAATAAACCATTTATATTAACAAATGAGGGATTAATATGCAGTTTTTAATTATTATTTTGTAAATTAAAATATGAATTTAAAAAAAAAAAAAGGAGGGATCCATATTCTATCTGTGCTGTTAGGTTGTGCAAACCTGATTCGAATATTATTAGTGTTCTTGTGCTGGAGCACATACTGTCAAAGAAAAAAGGCAAACATACAACCACACCCACATGGAGAAGGAAATTAGAGTGACATGAAAAAGCTGTGGAGGATATGTGGTGAGATGCATGCAACCGCATATACTTTTTCTCCAGCATCTTGAATCCTTGAGGTTCACTGCTGCAGATATCACCAGCCTCCATTCTTCTCTGGGATAGACCTTCTCTTTACAATTCAAGTGTCTTCAGGTATGCCTGTATATTATCTCAACGTCTTCTTGGTCTAACCTCCTAGTCTACTCCCGTTCTACTCTTCTGTTTACACAGTTTTTGCCTCTCTGTCATTTGCCATTGCTTTTATACCCCAACTAATGCAGTTTATCAGCCATCAGGATTCCAATGGTTAGTGGTGATTTAAATAGGTTATGAATTTTGCTGTTGCTTTTCACTCCTCATTCTTCATTGTTCGCTCAAGCATCTTTGATATACACAAATATAAATTTCCAGTCTCTGAAAAGACAAAAGCTTCCTATATCCTAATTATAACCCAAGAAGGGTTAAACAAGACTATGTTCAGATTACTACCTTTACCACTATTACTCTTACTACTGCTGCTACTACTACCACTACTGATACTACTACTACTACCACCACTATTATCATCATCACCATTAACTACTCATGGAGGAATCTCACGACTTACCAGCTACATAGAGTGTAATATTTGCAGTTGCGGTTAAGGTTGTGTTGCCGATCTGTGTAGTTGCCTTTGCTGTGTACACCCCACTATTCTCTGTCCTGGGCACTCTGATGACCAACCTGGCATACTTCTCCATCTGCTGCTTGAAGTACAGTCTTCAGAGTGATAGAAAAAAAGACAAGGAAAGTGACAAATGATGTTTACAAACATCAACGGAAAAATAATAATAATAAAAAGAAAAGAAAAAGAATATTTAAAAACAAAAGGTTAATACATGTTACCCCACAGTTGTACCGTTCCTGTGCCAACGAAAACCACACAGAATGTCGATCACTGTCTCTTGTGAAAATAAAAATGATGCAAACTGCAGTCTAAGCAAAGGATACAACAGCATACTCACACACTAAATGCATAAAGCAGCCTTCAGAACAGTCCAGCAACAGAAAAGCAGCAGTTACAACTGATCAGCAGTTGTACATGTAATCAACAGAATAAAGCACCAGCAGTTCTTTGGCAACAGGCCACCCACCATTTTATGAATCTGCAGTTCACAACACAAACCATACTGGCCACAGCTGAAAAGCACTTCACAGCTCACAGTGTCACACCATGCACTTAACTCTGTAGCTGGGCGCAGGATCATTTCAGTTTACACATGAAGACAAATATAACTAGTAACTATTGTCACAAGCAAAAACTTGCCATAGTTAAATAAAAAAAATAAAAAACAGCATGCCTATCTGCAACACTTATCGGATAGCTTATCTAGGGACAATCGGGATGATGAAGTCACCATACATATGATGCTACAAATGTCCCACAAAACTAACTTGAAAGGCTAACTCAGATAATAAATGCCTGAAAAAATGATTTGCTGTCCAAAAGGCACAAATAATGCAGCTATACAGTAAACAAAAACAGGCTCTAGTGGACCAAGAGGTGAGGAGAATACGCTGGCGTTGGATAGGACACACACTGAGAAAACAGGAGAACAGCATAACTAGAATGTCTTTGCATTTGAACCCACAGGGGCGTAGGAATAAAGAAAGGCAAAAAAAAAAAAAAACACATGGAGAAGAAAGCTGGAAATTAAAGTTAGAAAGATGGGGAGAGCTCCATCTAA